CGAATAGTTTTCGATGTTTCAACACAAATATTTACACATTTTTCATATTTTGTAATGCTATAGTCTGTTTCAAAAATGTACTTTTATACGAAAATGGTTTCATTTAAAACTGTTGTTCAAAATTCACCGTAGTAGTTACATATTGGATCGGTTTTGGTATCAATATAATCAGTACTTGATGACATATAAAGAATCATTGGAGAAAGTGGACATTATCTTCAGGCCCTTTTTAGCAGTACTGCATTTACTAAAAAAATCAGAAAATTTTTTTTCACATTTTTTGACTGGGGTTACCTCTGATAAAAAATTGTGAAAATTCAGAGAGTAATGCCAGAACGTTTTGAAGATGATTTTTGTGTGGCATATATATTTATGCATCTAACGAACTATGAATTGCATGATTCTAGAAAGTATTAAATAGCGTATAGGTTACAATACACCATTAGATTTTATGGGCGCAGCCATTTTATGAGCATAACATGGTATTCAGAATTAAGAGTATAGCTAATCCTGATTGGTTGATATGTGCGCCCGTTATTTTTTGTAATTAGAGACTTCGTGCATTCTGCATTATACCAAAGGCCAAATAAATTATTTTCCTCAGCCCTAGCGGAACTGAGATGTCTTTTAAACGCTAGGATGAGACACGTATTTGTAAGTGCAAAATTGATAGGCATGGGAGATAAGTACAAATTACGCTAAGAAAAGCAACGCGAACCTATATTTTTTGGACCAAAAAATACTGTCCTAATAACTTTTCTTTAATTCTAGCAAGGTTTCGTTAAAAAAATCAGCTTTCTAAAGTCTGTATCTCGAAAAAGGCTATCATTGTCGCCTATGGGGAAATTAATTGTTTATTATAATCTATACAGCGTCGACATTTCTTTATCATAGTGCTCAAAAAGTGTCAAAAACAGTAATTTTACTTGATATTTGATGTGAAACCGTATTTTTTGGTGACAAATGAATTATTGATTAACTAGTTTTTAAGCTATAGTCTGTTTCATATTTGTATAGCGTTTTACCTTAGAAACAAGGGTGTGTTCGACTTTTGACTTACTGTGGAGAGAATATGTCATTTTCTGAACTTCTGCTGATTTGTTTGTAAAAAGCACATACACATCTAGAGTTTGGATATATAAATCGATTTTTAAACATGACAATCTCGATCCAAGTGCTGTTATCGAAATTACCAAATTCGGTGAAAATGTACAGAAACGATCCCCTTCGAACATTGAAATGTTCACTCGAATGGCAGACTATAAAAATTAGAATAGGCATGACATTTCGTTGTTAACGAATAGTTTTCGATGTTTCAACACAAATATTTACACATTTTTCATATTTTGTAATGCTATAGTCTGTTTCAAAAATGTACTTTTATACGAAAATGGTTTCATTTAAAACTGATGTTCAAAATTCACCGTAGTAGTTACATATTGGATCGGTTTTGGTATCAATATAATCAGTACTTGATGACATATAAAGAATCATTGGAGAAAGTGGACATTATCTTCAGGCCCTTTTTAGCAGTACTGCATTTACTAAAAAAATCAGAAAATTTTTTTTCACATTTTTTGACTGGGGTTACCTCTGATAAAAAATTGTGAAAATTCAGAGAGTAATGCCAGAACGTTTTGAAGATGATTTTTGTGTGGCATATATATTTATGCATCTAACGAACTATGAATTGCATGATTCTAGAAAGTATTAAATAGCGTATAGGTTACAATACACCATTAGATTTTATGGGCGCAGCCATTTTATGAGCATAACATGGTATTCAGAATTAAGAGTATAGCTAATCCTGATTGGTTGATATGTGCGCCCGTTATTTTTTGTAATTAGAGACTTCGTGCATTCTGCATTATACCAAAGGCCAAATAAATTATTTTCCTCAGCCCTAGCGGAACTGAGATGTCTTTTAAACGCTAGGATGAGACACGTATTTGTAAGTGCAAAATTGATAGGCATGGGAGATAAGTACAAATTACGCTAAGAAAAGCAACGCGAACCTATATTTTTTGGACCAAAAAATACTGTCCTAATAACTTTTCTTTAATTCTAGCAAGGTTTCGTTAAAAAAATCAGCTTTCTAAAGTCTGTATCTCGAAAAAGGCTATCATTGTCGCCTATGGGGAAATTAATTGTTTATTATAATCATTATCAAAATACGCCTAGGCAACGACTACTTCCGGTTACAGGTCCAGTTAAAGTAAAAAATCGGAAAAAGTCGGATATTTTTAGAATTTTGGTGCAAATGACCTTTTTTAGACTGGTGTACCCAGATCAGTTTCACTCCGACCTAACAACTGTTGTGATTAATGTGGTCACTTGGGTCCACTTAACATGCAAACTACAGTTGGATGCATCTATTAGCATCCCTCGGACTTCCAGGTCGAGAAAAAGAACGTAAAAATGTCAAAATTGACGCGTTTTGCACATGAGGACCAAATTTGGGGCAAATTCCCGGCCACCCTCCCCCCGACCACCCCACCCGTGATCCCCTATCTCTGATTTAATGCAATCAATATGCATCAGCATCAGGGTACAGCTCATTTGCATATAATTTGCATATTTTTGCAAATAATCGAAAATTAGACAATTTCTGAAAACAATTCAGCATGGTAAGGGTTAATTAATATCCCTGGGGTTAGAAATCAATTTTTTTCAGTTTTAGCTCCAATAAGGATTTTTTTTCGTCATATTTGGGGCCTACATAGGTTATCAAGGCCTTCAGATACACTGGTTTGCTCAAAAACGCTTTAAATTTTTTTTTTATTTGTGTTGATTATTAATTAACCCTTACCATGCGGGGGCCGTAATATTACGGCCGTACCCAGACCACCGTTATTTGGCACCAATGGCGCTCCATTTTTTTGGAGGTCAACGTAATGCCATCTTATTCGAAGTGTATGCATGTTTCCTCAATCTTACACCATTAATTGTCATTTTTCTCACTTTTAATGTTCATTTTGAGCTCAAATACGAACTTGGAAAATTGAAATCGGACAAAATTGGGTTATTTGGAGGGTGGGCTTACCTTCGAGGTCTGAAACACGAAGTTGTGAGGCCTGAAACTTGGACAAATAGTGTAAACCCCGAGGCATATAACTACTGATCGTGTTTATTATCAAAATACGCATAGACAACGACTACTTCCGGTTGCAGGTCCAGTTAAAGTAAAAAATCGGAAAAAGTCGGAAATTTTTAGAATTTTGGTGCAAATGACTTTTTTTAGACTGGTGTACCCAGATCAGTTTCACTCCGACCTAACAACTGTTGTGATTAATGTGTTCACTGGGGTCCACTCTACATGCAAACTACAGTTGGATGCATCTATTAGCATCCCTCGGACTTCCAGGTCGAGAAAAAGAACGTAAAAACGTCAAAATTGACGCGTTTTGCACATGAGGACAAAATTTGGGGCAAATTCCCGCTCACCCTCCCCCCGACCACCCGATCCGTGATCCCCTATCTTTGATTTAATGCAATCAATATGCATCAGCATCAGGGTACAGCTCATTTGCATATAATTTGCATATTTTTGCAAATAATCGAAAATTAGACAATTTCTGAAAACAATTCAGCATGGTAAGGGTTAATATCCCTGGGGTTAGAAATCAATTTTTTTCAGTTTTAGCTCCAATTTGGATGTTTTTTCATCATATTTGGGGCCTACATAGGTTATCAAGGCCTTCAGATACACTGGTTTGCTCAAAAACGCTTTCAACTTTTTTTTTTATTTTTTGTTGATTATTAATATGTAATGTGAGGAACACATCAAGAAAGTGCTCGCATATCTTGCTGAAATTTCGATTATTTCAAGGTGTATAATATGTGTTATGAGTAAAAATGTTTCTATAGAAATGACAATTAGATGGGGTGTCTAAATTATAATCCATAGAATTTTTTAATAGTTTGCCAAAATGTAGTTTATATCATGCTTTAAAAAAAATAATACTAAAAAGAATGGGTCACGGGGCTTATTTTCACGCTACAGGTTGTGCAAAATTGACAGATTTTGTATAGATTATGCATGGAAAACCCAATTTTCTGCCATAAAACGAAAACTACACCATAGAACTTTGAGATAAAATATGAGAAGATAGCTCTTATATTATGCTTTCAGATAAGAAAAAGAAAAAATGGGGTCACGGGACCCGTTTTCTTGCTACATAATAAAATAGGTAAATTCATAACACATTCTATTGTAAAAGTAACTTTATCTGAATTATCTGCCCTTACATTTGAGTTGCCTCCCCTTATGTGGCAAAGTTGGAAAAAATTGAATCAAACAAAAGTATTCTGTTTTTTGTAAAATACAACTATAAATATGATAAAACATGTCATTTTCTATATTGAAATGAAAATTCTTACACATGAATTACCTACTACTCTCAAAATTTGCACATTTTCTTAAAGATCTAGACCGATTGTTTTCTGGTATTTCAAAATCCAAGATGGAGGAAGACACCCTATCTACCTTAAAATGTTTACCATAATAATTCATAAAAAATGAAAACGCGTTAAAATTTCCATGCGTCCGAAGCGCTTTTCTGGATTTACCTTCATCAGGACCGCTCAAAGCCGAAATTTTAAAGCCAAGAGTTATAAGGACCGAAACAGTTGAAGAGCTATATGAACAAAAATGACTTAAAAATAGCCAAATCAATATAAGGACAACTTTGCCTGAGGGAGTTGAAATAGTTTCTTTATCATTTCAAAATTAGTAAGCACACATTTTAAGAAAGGTTTGTTATAAATCATGTCAGTACCGAAGTAATGACTACTGAGCTGATGGTACCCTCGAGGACTGATAGTCCACCAGCAGAGGTATCGACCCAGTGCTGTAAAAAATGAAAACAACACGTTATAAATTCATTCATCCGAAGCGCTTTTCTGGATTTCCCTTCATCAGGAAAGCTCAAAGCATAAAAATACTGACAAATTTATTATAACATAAGTATGCAAGCCTATACAGTTTTATTATCAAATACCTTATCCAGCTGTTTTTCCATAGTTTTAAGTCTGCCCATTACAACCGTCTGCAGTTTTGATAATTCTGCATATTTCTCGTTAAAGTCCTTTGAGATCTACAATAAAAAATAAAACACACACAAAAAAATAAATCTTTAAATTTCTATGAATGTATGTTAGGAATACCAAGAATGAAGAAAGAAGTACCAACACTTACAGTGCCGTTGAGTTCATTAATCTAATAATATTTTATTGCACTTTTAAAAAAAAATGTGCAGAATTTATCTTTGATTCAAATAAAGAAATACCTGCCATGAGTAAAGTTTTATCCTGAACAGTACTACAGACAAAATTTCACATAACATTTCATTGCATATAAGATAATGACCATCACTGGAAGTTAGCCAATCAAATTTTCACCCCTTTTTTCCTGTTTACAAGCTTTAGTACCATGTAACCTCAAGTTTCCAAAATATTTTATAGATACAACAAATAAAAAAAGAATGATGCTTTAATTTCGTATGAAACCGGATGTGACGTACTATGATTTGGTGGTATTATACCTTCTGAGGTTTACCAACATGACCTTCTTAGGTCTAAATGGTCTTTCATGTGTTGATAATAGTGTGCATTCCGTAATATCTGACTAGAACTATAGCGTTTTCTTCTTCAAGAACTTACCTGTGGATCGCCTTTAATATTTACTACAGGCCTTTTCTTTAAATTTTCTATTAGATCGGTCACTGTTTTCAGTCTATCCTTTAAATGCCTGTATCTCTTAACACCCGATTTCAATGCAGTCGATATTCGACCAATCTTATCTTGGAATTTTCTAAAATGCTTTCCGAAAGACTTTCCTTTTCTATGTATCCTCATGATCGTTTTCACTATCATTATTTGGTTATTTTTTATTTTCTGTACGGTCTCATTATTCTACAAAATCAACAAAAACCATGATTTTTACTTGTAAAGACAAACACACAAATTAGACAACAACTTATCAATAAATGACAAGTTAAATTTGGATATGAAAAAGGTCAACGTATTTATCTATTTCAATGGAGCTTTTAATTACTAGTAATAGAGATTACTAAAATATGAATCTGAAATTGCACATCATGCACTCCATAGATGAAATAAAAGATTTATAGTATCTGACAAAGGAGAAGGTATGATAAGTAAAGGCCTTATTATTGGCACCTTGAATTCGACAAAAACTAAAAGTATTATAAATCCTTCTAAGTTCATTTAGTGCAATAACAGCAAAAAACTGCCAAAATAGCCTCAATTTGAGATCTTGTCATTTTAGATATTAGCAACGGCTATACCCAAAAAGATATTTTGCTAAAAAATGTAATGTACAAATATTTTGGTGTGTTTAAAATGTCTTTTTGTGTAAAAGTAGTTGCTCATCTATATTTTGACCTAAAACTATTAGCGAAAAGATCATTAAAGGTCAACGAAGTGACATCACACGTGTATTTTCTTCACTAAAGAGTCCAGATTATGTTAACCAGTTCATATATCAATAAAGTTAATATAATTTTACAAGGCTTGAATAATTTTACTATTTTAGCAATGTTAGTGGCAAAAAAGTGGTTCTTATCATACCACCTCCTTTGTTCACAATTTTTGTAGACTCGTGGGTTGTTACGGGTTGAGATCTTGACATATTGAAAAGAATTGTGTCTTAATGGAGATTTTATCATGCATTGCTCTAATTCCGGCTTTACTTTGATCCCTTTTAGTTTTATCAGATCTTCAACGTTTGTATTCGGTTTTGTACTTTCGGATATGTTGGCCTCGATCAACAATGAAGAGACATTTGTTTTCGAATTGCGCATTTGGTGCAGTAAAATTGGTACCGTTTGTGTTATTGTACTGACAATGAAATTTGTCATTCCAAAATTCATTTTCATCAGTCCAATCATAAACTAGTATTATATTGAAAAGTTCGCTCATGACATGTGTGTCAGACATTTGAACTGACATCGAAATAACATTTGTCAGACATTTCGAATTTTCATCTGACAGTCTAATGATTTGGTCTGAAACTTTTCAAGAATTCTATTAAAGAAGCTCGTTTGTAGTTGAAGACTGTATGCTGACCTTTATAATGTGATGTTTTTCTGTCGTTGATTGCTGTCTCATTGACGTTCACCCGCGCATAAATGATAAAAGTGACACATATAAAGCAAAAGCTGACATTTATATTGTAATGTAAACTAATACTGTGGATAAAATGGAAACCACTCAGGACTTCCTGGTTCCAGTTTTTAAATTTTAGACTTGTCAGTATAATACCATAAATATCATCTTTTTAAAAAGAGGCAGCAGATACCAAGGGATAATTCAAAACGAATAAGTCCAAAAGAAACGGACAACACAAGCCAAATAAAGAGATGTGTCATGAGCGCATGATACGCCCGTCGCTTTTTCGATGAATAAAGTTCCATAACTCCTCAATGTCATATCAGAAATTTATGAAAAAAAACATGAGGGACTTATTTTCATAGATATAAACCAGTCACCAAAGTTTCATTAAAACTGTTCAAAGCATTTTTGAGTTATTGTCCGAAAACTGGAAAATCCCCTACTCCCCCCTTTATGAATAAAATCCCATAACTCGGAAACGTAAAATCTAAAAGGATGTTTACGTCAATAGATATAAACAATTAACCAAAAATTCATGAAAATTGGTTAAAGCGTTTTTGAGTCTTTGTCCGACATGTTGACGACGGACGGACGGACAACGGGCGTATAAAAACGACAAAGACAAGTCCACAAAATACTACATAGAAAACTATAGACTTGGCAACACGAACCCCATCAAAAACCAGGAGTGATCTCAGATGCACCTGACCGGCGAGCAGATCCTGCTCCACATGTGACACTCGTAATGTTGCACATAGAAAGTATAAATTCAGTGATAAGACTTATTCGGGATATCACGATTGAGGAAAAGAGCGCGTGATTGCGGTTACGACAATTAGAACATATCCGTGGTCATATGTGACACAGGTAACCAATAACGGCCAGGCAACTCGTGATGGCGTCCGTAAACTTTCGAAAAGACGACTTCAACGTTATATCTTGGCTTCCTTGGTTCAAAAGCTAAGTGATATGCTATACAGATTATATACTTACGCTGGTGCCCTGTATTGATGATTTAATCTTTTCAATCTGTGTAGCGATTTTGTCAGAGTTTTTCTTCATTTTATCTAAATGTGCTTTTAACGACTTCTCAAAGTTTCTTATCTTTGTAAGTTCTGACCTTATGTCGTTTGTAGACGAATTGAACTTTTCTGCATAAGCGTATAATTTGTCGTACGTATTCTTCATTCTCTTGACTACATTCATCAGATGTTTTTGAGATACCGTAGTTTGGTTAATTGTTTCTATGTTTTCATATATTTTTTTATAAGCTTTGTGGAGGAACTTATGTAATGTCTGTACTGAGCCTTTTTCTGATTTGTACTTTTCCGTAAGGTGTGCAACAGCAGTTTTAATACCTTGCACATTACCAAACAATTTGTGGATTTTTGATTTTGCCTCCTGCAAAGAAATAATAATAAAATCAACTTGATACAATAAATATTGGTTCAAATTAAGTTAGGTAGCCCGTACACGGAATAAACTGGCATACTGTGTCAGTGTACAGAATCAGTTACGTTCTCAGTTAACCAGTCACCAAATATCAAGTAAATAAAACTATGTGATTTACAGTACACATGTATATTTGCCTTAAAGATGCAGGCGGAAAACCAGTTAAAATTGAAAAAATACAGGCGTAAATTTAGAGTTAAATGAAGCTGTATGATTTTAGATTTTTTTTTTTTCAATTTTGTAGGTAGGTTAAATGTTATATACTTCGGAGCCGTTAAGGTGTCAGACCACCAATTCACTCCCTCCAATTTAGAACGTATGTAGAAGTAGCCCTACTCTGACACAATACAGTGCTTTTGATGTCATTGTTTACTTAAACTAACCAACAAATTTGCAGAAATGAAACTTTTGGTGAAAGAGAAATATATTTATACCATTTTGAGCCAAAATTTACTTGTCTATGAGTTTGCATTAAAAATTGAGGATTAATGCGCTTCATAGTATACTAGCTTAAGATTTCAAGAAAACCAGGGCTTATTTTTAGTAGTACTTCACTTCCAAAAGGCAGTTCTTTCTTAGAAGACTTTAAACATGAGTTGAAAATTGGCATGTAGAAAGGTGATACATGTACAATTCAGGATATACCTGGTTTCTATGAAGTTAAAATATTAAGAAAGCTTTTGGTTGAATAGATAGGGATTTTGAATTGGTGGTCTGACACCTTAATTATAGTGCGTCGGAGGCCTAATTCCGCCTAAATTTAGTAAATTATCGGCTTAATTCTAAGACTGTATTTTAAAAGCTATTTAAATCTTTCAATAAGTTATAGCCAAAAAGAAATGGTCTTAAAATGTGAAAACAACCATTGTGGATGGAAAGTGATTAATTAAGAATTTTGGGGGACACGCTTCCTGTGATAAATACAGAATAAAAGGAACCATGTAAACAATATATTAGTTCAGACTCCTGGTAAAATGTGTCTGATGGACACAAATCGTTAGTATAAAAAAAAATCCATGTTTACATAATTCACTAGTAATTTTAGTCCAATTAATGTCGTTATAAAAGTCCATAGATTTTCCTAGGTAAAAATGTCCATGTCCTCAATTTTACAACGAAAATCTTGATCTGAAACAAAATAATTTAGATATAAACAATTAAATGTAATAGTATTGTCATGTTTAAATATTTTATTAAATGTACATTAATCTTTCATTATTTCTCCAATTGACAGTATGTTTTTTTTTGGTTTTTTTTCAATCAAAATCGATAACCATGACTTTTATCATTTGTATGTTAAAAGGCGTCATTTTGCTATTTTACAAATTTAGATTGGTATAGAGGAACGTCTAACAAATGAAATTTTGAAGGGACTTATTTTACAACAAAAATTGATACCATGGACTTTTATGAATCGGAAACATTGATTTTTCATTGATCATTCTTTTTTGTATAATTTCTTCATTTTCAGATTTAAAATCTAAAAATCGTCCTGAATATACATAAAATATTTGTCACTAAAAGTTAAGCAAACAACAATCAGTAACATTTTAAATATTTTAAATTTAAGGCATATTATTAGTTGTAAAGGGGCATATTTTTCCCGGAAAATAGAAAGTAAACAGTGTCCCCAGTCTTTGCATCGAACTTTGGTGGGTAAACCAGTCTATGTCCTATGTTAGCAAGACAACGAAGTATCTGTCTACTATTTTCCTATGAAAATAAATTCCAGACATGGAAAAAATTATGAACTAGACGAAATATCCTTTTTATGAAAAAAATTGCGGTTGAGCTATATAAATGTTCTGAGGTTAGTGTACCAACAGAAAGTATTTCGGTTTTTTTAACTGTCGAAACGGCTTTTAGGTACAAGACAACACAAGCATGGAACTCATTTCCAAATGATACTTTTGACATATAACAAGTGTAAACAAGAAATGATTGTAACAGGATGCTGTTACGAAGTCTCCCAAACGAAGCTCCCATAATTCGTAATTCCCAGGGTCGCCTGACATTTGGCAAAGTCCAGTGAAAGTTGGTTTGGTCAAGTAAAGTTATATGCATTAGTGATGCCTGGGGACTAACCCTGTATATCATTCAAATCATCTTGGCATGACAAACCAGAATATATATGGTTTAGGGGTGGGGATCTCGACCATTTACAAGATATTAGAACTTTCTCAAATGGCAGGGGGTCGGGATGACCCCTGGGGACTAACCCTGTATATCATTCAAACCATCTTAGCATGACAAACCATAATATATATGGTTTAGGGGTGGGGATCTTGACCACTTACAAGATATTGGAACTTTCTTAAATGGCATGGGGTGGGGGTGACCCCTGAGGACTAACCCTGTATTTCATTTAATGGGTTTTATCATTTAGAACATTTTCAATTAAAAAGATTGTGTCTATCTCAAATGGTTTTCAATTTATAATCATTTGAAAATTTTAAAAAATAAAATCCCATAGGGTTCTATAGTAAAACCTTCTTTTCTTTTTGACCCTCAAAGTACCCCTTTATAAACCCCATTGCACAAACAAAACCCTGATTGCACCACTAGACATGTTAGTCTAACATATTGTGAAATCCTAAGTTAATCTGACAAGCGGTTTTGGAGAACGGGTGCGGACAAGTTCAAATTTAAAAGCGGCGGAAGAGGAAGAGGAAGAAGAAGAATAATAACTAGATTTGCCATTGCAAGCAATAGCGAATGGCACCCTTCCCCCATTGCCAGGCGAGCGACAGCCATTTAGAAAATTCCAAAGTCGAAGAGGGCGTCTGTACAAGTAGATTATCATTTTTGTAAAGTTTCATTAAGTTTGGAGCATTTCGAAATTTTTGACATTTTTGCTGTTTCCATGGTTACGGCGGCCATTTTGAAAATTCCAACTACAAAATGCAACTTTGCCTATGCCATTTACCATTTCTGTAAAGTTTCATCCAGTTTGCAGCATTGTGATTTTTTTGAAATTTTGGACATTTTTGCTGTTTCCATGGTTACAGTGGATAATTCTAAAATTCTAAAAGCAGACATCTCATTGCCACATGTCATGTTATATATCAATACAGTTTCATTGACTTTGGTGGAATACTCTTTCAGAAAATGCTGATTTTATGCATTTTCCCATAGGGTCAATGTAAAACTTGCTCCATGTTTCCATGACAACGGCGGCCATTTTGGACAATCCAAATATTGTCTTCACATCTTAGCATACTGGGTAACATTTTCATAAAGTTTCATTCAGTGGGGTCATACAACGAAAGAGTTAGAATTTTTGATATTTTAGCTGTTTCCATGGTAACGGCAGCCATTTTGAAAATTCCAAAGTCAAACTGCAAATCAACACATGCCAGTTAACATTCCTGTGGAGTTTCTTCCAATTTGGAACACTTTGATTTTTTTCGCATTTTTGCTGTTTCCATGGAAACGGTTGCCATTTTTTACCATTCCATAGCAAGGTGCACAACTTTACATGGGGGACCTCAGTATAGTAGAGTTCCATCAACATTGGTCCATTAGATTCCAAGAACTCGCGCGGACAAAATGTGTGGAAGAAAAATAAGAAAAAAAAGAAACGTAGAATAACAGTATGTCACCCCAACTCCGTTGAGGGTGCCATAATAATAATAAGAACTGAGCAAAAACAATAAGTCTTCCCAAACTTCGTTTGGGAGATTTAAAAATAATATCAATAGATGATGAAGGGAGTTGTAGTTTTCCTTAGATTCCATAGAGTATTGTCTCATCCCTGAAGAACTTTCCAAATTCAACACTTTGTTTGCATTTTTAAGAAATAATTCCTTCATGCCATGCTCTATTTTAACATGGGTAGGCATTATATTTGTAAATCTCTGTATACCGAGCGAAAGCGAGGTGCAAAATGTTGACAAATATAATGCCTACCCATGTTAAAATTAGCATAGAGCATGGCATGATACAATTATTTCGATTCTAATAGGAAAATTTTGAACTTTTCAGAGTTTTGTACTGCGAAGCGGACCTATAATTAATACACGTTCGAAAATCAGCCATTTTGATATGATGAACCAAAAACGTCATAGAAAATCAAGTTTAACGATAAAAATGAATAGATACATTTAAACTTACTTTAAGAATGATTTTATTTAATTTCCTAGCAAGCAAAACCAACACAAATTTACATTTTCATCTCCGGCGTTGTTCAACATTCAACAGACGTTGCAATTTCAATTGTGACGTCAATCACGTGCAGGCCATGTTTTATTGGAATTAGAAAATGGCTTTGTTTCCAAAGCGAAAGAAGAACGTCATATTAGAATCGCCTATCATTAGCCTGGTCATTATCATTGATAAAGGAAGCTTTTTCTCTAGCACAGTCTCTAGATTTGACTGGAACTTATTCATGGTATACATATGCAAAAAATATTGAAGAGACTAATATTGACCTTAATATTTTTTCTAATTGTAAGGACATAAAAGATGAAAATAAAATAAAAAACGATATAACGTTAAAAATGAAAAATAGATATGAAGATTTAATTGAAACTAAATTTGAAAACATTGATGATAAAAGTAAATTTTATCTATATAAAAAACTTAAAAAGGATTGCAAACTAGAATCTTATCTAAATATATCTAATTTTCAGATAAGGAGATTGATCACTAAATTTAGACTAAGTGATCACTCCCTCTTAATTGAAAAGGGGAGATATTTTAAAATCACAAGAGAGGAACGACTTTGTCATAAATGTAAAATACTAGAGGATGAGAAACATTTTTTACTCTATTGTGATTATAATAAAACACTAAGAAATGCCTTTTTTGAACACATATGTACTGAAAATATTAACTTTAATAATTTAAATGAAGAAGAAAAAATTAATTATTTACTAAATCCATCAACGCCTTTACAAACAAATAAGTTAGGATCCTTCTTGAAAAAGTCATTAGAACTGAGGGCAGGGGACTCTTAACAACTTGTTTGTTTTTATAAATTTTGATGCTGTTTTTATTGTGTTTGTTTGTTTGATATGTATGTATATATGTTTATTGTGTTAATACATGTTGGTCACAAACTGTAAAGTTTATAAGACAATAAAATATTTGATTATCTTTGTTGATATGATTTTTCTCTTTAAACTTCATTTTGTTTTATAAAGTTTTATATAACTAGTTCAAAAAGGCATTGTGTCGACCAGCTGATATTTTACGATATAAATCTGATGAAGATATGATTAAACGGCTTATTGGATTGTATTTATGTACTTTGCATGATAGAAACAAGTGTTTTTCGTTGCTTCACCAGCTAACCGGAAGATAACTTGATAAGTTCGGGTCGACGTCGACGTCGGTTCATTCATTGTGACGTCGGTGATGTAATATCTGCGATTACTCCGGGAAAGTACAATACAAACCTTCGGGACATTAACGTATTACGTAATGTCGCTACGGCGATATGAATTGTATTTTGTTAGTCATTATTAAAATACCATCTGAATAATCAAGTCTTGCTCGGATCTTTCAATGGCGACGAGGATGAAAAACAAAGAAATTAGCAGAGATTAAAAGCGTAAACAAAGAAGAAAGTTAACGGAACAGAGAATTATAAGAAGATCACGCTAAAAAAGAGAATTAAAAGGAAGATAACGCTAAAACAGAGATTATGGACTGAGGACAGCCCCAGAGGATAACGATAGTTACAGAAACCAGGAATTTACGCTCACAACCATTTATAGCTAAGTATCAGACGATCAAATATCCACAGGAAAACAATGGGAAGAATGGCTGGAGAGTAACGAGAGGGAATTTAGATATTTCAGAATAACTGAACCTGAAGATAAAAAGGATGCTCTAATCATTTATGGAGGAAAAGACATAGCAAGACTAGAAAGAAGCCTGAGAAATGAAGAAGGAGAAGATGAATGTAAAATATTAAAGAACAAATTAAACAAATATTATATGCCAAAAAGGAACAAGCATCATGCCAGGTATTTATTTTTGAAAATGAAACCACTAAGAGATGAAAATACAGTTACATATGTCACAAGGCTCAGAGAAAAGGCACATGCGTGTGAGTTTGAAGCTACATGTGAAGAAAGAATATTGGTACATTGCATTCAAACCATAACCAATCAGGAATTGATAAAGAGGGCTATTAGCAAAGGCTGGAATCTAGATAAATTTGTTGAAGAAGCGGGACAGATGGAAGACACATATTTACAGAAGAAGGACATGAAATTAGGAGATCACAGAATGAGTTCAGTAAATAAAATACAGAGCAACAGGTCTTACAATAGAGCACAGGAATTTGAACATGATAGATTTCAACAAGGTTATATAAATGATAGAAATATGGCAACAAAGGCTGATTGTAGTTATTGTTGATTTGATCATGATGAGGAGAGAAGATGCCCAGCATATGGGAAGCAATGTAGAAATTGTGAACGATATAACCATTTCACATCAGTTTGCAGAGCAGAAAATAGAAACCAAGGAAGATATGATAGTCAGCAACAGAGCAGATCTATGAATTATAGAAACAGAAGAAATGTGAAGAAAACAACAGAAGATACAAACGAAACAGATTCCAATACAGACAAATCAGACTATGAAGAAGATGAAGATTATTTTGGAGAAACTACCAAGCACATAATGAAAATACGCAAAGTGAAGTCCATACATGGAACAACAGATATTGAAAAAACAGTGACAGTAAGAATTGATGATGTGGATGTGAAGGTTGAACCTGATAGTGGAGCAGATGTGAATGTGATGGATGAGAATCAATTTTTAAAGTTTCAGAAACAAACATACGGAAATCCAGTGTTAGAAAGGAGCACATTCAAATTAAGAACACTGCAAAATTCACTACCAATACAGGCGGAATTTAAAACTGTAATAAGAAATGAGACATGTGGCACAGAGACAAAATTTATTGTTGTTAAGGGAGAAATCAAATCTCCACCATTGATAAGCAAATCAACACTTATTGAGCTAGGAATGTTACAGATCAGAGCTGATGGTTCTTTTACAAAACCAAATCATTTGAGGATACTAGACAAAGAAAAAGATGTAATGATAGTTACAGAACAGGACAGAGGAAAAATTAAACACATCAAAATAACAGAACAAAAAGAAAATCTACGAAAGAAAGAAAGTGTAACAGCTACACAGGAGATGTTTATTGGTAATCGTTCAACACCAGCTACAAGAAGATCACGATGCAACGCCCTAATAAACAGACCAATTAGGACACAATTAGAGTATAAACTGAGAACTACAGACAAGAATGAAAACTTAGATGATGATATAAATGAAGGAGACAGACGATACAAGAAGATGAAGAAAATGGGCCCCCCGCAAGACAGGCGCGGGAGGGGCGGATAAAGACTTTGGAAAACCAGAGGAAAAAGTCGGGAAAAATCAAGTAGAAGAACCAAATGATAAACCAAAAGGAGACCGACTCAAATTAGTGAACATAACAGAGACTGTGATAATTTAATTCATTTAAACAAACTTTATTTTACACATTTTAATTTACATTTATATAGTTATTTTCTAATTCAAAGTTAAGGAGGAATGTAATATCTGCGATTACTCCGGGAAAGTACCACACAAACCTTCGGGACATTAACGTATTACGTAATGTCGCTGTGGCGATATGAATTGTATTTTGTTAGTCATTATTAAAATACCATCTGAATAATCAAGTCTTGCTCGGATCTTTCAGGTGATATGTCCGGGTCAAAGTTATTTAGGCCAGGTTAACGTTTTTGACGTCACAAAGCCGTGATATGAAATTTTATGAAGAGCTGCAGAGTGATACAGACAGTTAGAACACCGATAATGTATGTTTATCTATAATTTCTTCTATATACAGTGTTGTTGATTTCCAGTCTTTGACTCGCATTTACATTTACTCGGCCTTAGTTTTATTATAGAAAAACAACTTTAGTGTCTTATAAAAAAGGTGAATGGTAAAACGATTACAAAACAACATCAAAACTATAATATCATATTGCTTACTTTCAATTTTTCAACGTGTGCCTTGATTTTATCTACATATTCATGCATATGTTTAACAAGTTTTGCCTTTTGATTTCTTAAATCTCTACTTATTCCATTTTTGGGCTTTTGGCTTTCTTGCTCTTCTTGATTGCTGTCCTTTGGCAACACCTGATTTCTTGAAGCTCCATTACTTGAAGCTGTATGTCTTGGTTTTTTTTTGTGTTTGACACTTCCGTCTTTTTTGTGTTTGACACTTCCGTCTTTTTTGTGTTTGACACTTCCGTCTTTTTTGTGTTTGACACTTCCGTCTTTTTTGTGTTTGGAGCTTCCACCTTTTGCACCTTTTTTGTTCGAATCTAAAAGAAAACACATAATTTGTCAATAAAACATGCAATTAAAAAAAAATATTTAACGGGTTTGAAAGTTGTGAATAAAAGTGAAATTATTTCTCGTCTTTTAATGGTGTGTAAGGCAGCACCGTTACTTCATATTTTGTGGTACGGCATGTCATGTTTTTTAATTAATTGTTTGACTCAAAATATTTTGAGGGGAAACAAATCGGTAGGAAAGTGAAACGAATACTTCACTGTGTCTAAACTACCCCGGCAAAAAATGTTTGGACGCGATGATATCTAATATCCGGCACAGTGACAGAGAAAAGGTAGTTTTATGTGTATTTATTTGTTATTTTTATGATATCGAAGAATATATATACATATATAACTATTTTCTATTGTGAGATTTAATATTTTCTACAACCGTTCTAGATTAACGGAGAAATAAGTAAAAATGCACGTCAAAATGACGAATTGAGTGAACATTGCCTCGAATTTGTTTAATTTCTCCTGAAATTGTTCACATGGTACGGACAGAAAGGTACGGAAAGAAAGATATTGACATGGAAATTGCAAAAGTAGTCACTTTGAGCACTTCAATCCTTGAATTTCTGCGTATGGAACGAAAGAAATAGGTCATGTCAAAATGGAAGCACCCGGTTTTGTCAATGTTATTTACTACACAATGACCCGGTTTTGTCGATGTATAGAAACCGGTTTTGTTTATTTTATGAAAAACAACGTTAACACTGGTACCCTGAAACAAAAAAATAAATTTACAAATGGCTGATTATGTGGGTTTTCAAACCAGATACCTCAATAAAGCGTGTGGCCAAGTTTAATTTAATTTTTTAAAGAGGAGAAGATTTTTGTAAGATAATTGGCAAAAACGCAAAGAAATGGTAAAAATCGTAATTAAAAGTCAATAATTCTTACAAGGATATCGACCAAGTCGACTTATTCGTATATATTGTCTTGCTGATCATTTTTGCTATATAACTTTTATATATTTCAAGATAATAGACAGAAATAGAAAAAAAAGAAGAAATTTGTCATTCAAGGACATTAACTTCTATAAGAATTCGTGTGAGAGTTTTGATGTGTATGGACAAAAGGTAGAGCTCAACATTATGAACATATCTGCCCCTGTTAAATTTTCTCTATCTATAGCTGTTTTCAGATAATAGACAAAACTTGCATCCCCCTATGTTCTATTTTAAGCCATGTCGGCCATCTTTGTTGACAAGCGGGGGTCATCAAAAACTTTTAAACTAGATACCCCAATGATGATGAAAAACAGTTAAACATAAGGTCGTTAGACCTTTTCAAACCGACATAAGATTGTGGATAAGGTTTGTTAAATGTATTGTAGCCCAGTAATTTCAGAGGAAAAGATTATGTAAAAAATTAACGGAATACAACGGACGACGGGGGCAAAGTGATGAAAAAAGCTCACTTTTCCCTTGGGGTCAGGTGAGCTAAAACAAACCAAGAATTCCAAACAAGATTGCACCGTTCTGGAATTAAAAAGAAAGTCTAACATTTAATAGTTAAGGCTTACACGAACGAGATAAACTAATCAGACATGGCAAAACAACTTTAATTACGTTTTTTTTAACAAAAATAAATACTACGTATTATTTATACAAGAGTGACTGTACGCACTGACATGTCGCGACTGCTGGAATGATCGTAATCGAAATTATTTTGAAGGTCTGTAAGATAAATAATTTAATAAAAGTATCTCATAAAATTAACATTGTTCATGAAACCATAAAAAAAGTCAAGGTCTGATGAAACCTGCCAGACGGACATGAACACATTACAATCATTAAAACCAACCAAAAAAAAACTTAACATTTACCAATTAATCAAGAAAATAAGTTCAAGTGTAAAAGTAAATTTGGTCCGGTAGTAAAATTTGTCCGCCAGACTTTTTTTCCTAGTTAATCAAGTCCATGACCATTATTTTACTAGGAATTTAAGTCCCAGGACAAATTTTCCTAGGAAAATAAGTCCATAGCTAGTAAAATATGTCTGGCACTTATTTTCCTAGGAAAAATTGTCCTAAGACTTGTTTTTCTAGTAATTTTTATTATATTTTAAAAATTATTGAAAATAAAAATAACAACATATTTTCTTAGTTAAGATTGGAAAGTTTCATTAATTTTTCCTATTAAAATAAATGACATGGCCGGACGTTATAACCTAGGCATGTTAATGACATGGACATGATGTCCTAGGAAAATTAGTCTGGGGACATACATTTTATTAAAATTTTAATACACAACTCTAAAACAATATTAAACATAACATTTAAATTTAACTTTCAAAATAAAGGGAATGGACGTTTTCACCTAGGAATATTAATGACATGGACATGATTTCCTAAGAAAATTAGTCTGGGGACATGAATTTTATTAAAATATTAATGCACAACTCTTAAACAATATTAAAACATAAAATTTGAATTTCCATTGTTAACATGTAAATAATTTGTTTCATTAAAATTTTCCTTTTAAAATAAATGGCATGGACGTTTTTACCTAGGAATATTAATGACATGGACATGATTTCCTAAGAAAATTAGTCTGGGGACAAACATTATATTAAAAAAATTGATACACAGCTCTTAAACAATAACATTTATATTTACCTTTTAAAATAAAGGGCATGGACGTTTTACCTAGGACTATTAATGACATGGACATGATTTCCTAGGAAAATTAGTCTGGGGACATACATTTTATTAAAAATATAAATACACAACTCTTAAATAATATTAAAACTTAATATTTAAATTTCCAATATTGTTTAAATGCAAATGATTTGATTCATTAATATTTTTTCTATAAAAAAAAAGGACATGGACGTTTTTACCTAGGAATATTAATGACATGGACTTGTATTCCTAGGAAAATCAGTCTGGGGACATAAATTACTAACATCGGACTAAAAATTCTAGTAAATTCTGTAACCATGGACTTTTTATACTAGTAATATGTGTCCGCCCGGACATATTTTACCAGGACAAATTTATCTCTTACACAAGGTCACTTAAATAGTCACGTGCGCCATACGAGCAAATATAGTTGACCTATTACTTGTGGTATTAGAGATACGGACTTGAACACGAAATGTTAACCTTGATCATAGATATCAACCATTATCAGCTATTCATTTTGTTAGGAAATCGCTGAACCATGAAAATGAAGTCAAGGGCAATGGACATATGACAGATAGAAACATCGTTACATAAAAGATCTGTGTGTGAGGTATGTTGCAGTCAGGCCTTCTGAAGCTTCATACAAATAGTTCAAGCCGCCACGAATTTGCATCCCTTGGTCTCGCATTCCGACAATTCCAAAATATCAATGTGAATTTTTAGAATAAACATGATAATCCTACTCACATACATCCAATTTCGCGGGTGTCCCTGCTTTCTTTTTTCTTTTAAAATTTTAAGTTGGTATACGATTTAGTTATATAACATCAGTGGCGAATCCAGGCGGCGTATAGGTCACACGCCCCCACCCCACCTTTGATGGCCCAAAAAAAATAAATTTTTTTTACGATTTTTTTAGCATAATTCGTCCAAAACATTGTTTGCTTCGCTACGCTCTGCGGTATGTAAGCTGTTTGAATTACCCCCACTTTGAAAAAACCTGAATCCGTCACTATATATTGTCAATAATATATTGACCACCGTCAATGTACGATAATCATAACACAATGGAGAGATAACAGAACCGTTTATTTATACGCCTATTAATACACTAATCATTATTGCATTTTCTCGATGGCCTGAGACTATTATAATACTAATTTATACTTAGTAATATAGTTACAATTAGGGATAGATAAATTTGATTTTTAATGCATGATTATTGTAATCCTTTTCTCGCCATAAACATTCATTTTCTATGCGATTCTGTAAGCATATATACATTTGTTTCATTATCATGCCTTATAATGAACATTTAGCCTTAAGAAGATTCATTTTAAACGATCATAAGAAATATTACACCCCTAGGTAGATTGGATTACTTATAAAGATAACCATCCTGTTGTGCAAGAAAATCACATATCAAATGTGCGTCCTTCAATTTTTAAGACCATAAACTCTAATTTTAAGTTTAAACACTAAAATTTACACAATTCATGTAAAAAAAACGTATAGAGAGCTTAAAAATCAATTTGCGGTTTAACCTTTATTAAGTCCGAAGGACTTTTATGATATGTTTGTGAGTGACTTGGTCCAGTTTATACACCAATAAATTCCTTTATAAAGGCGTTTAATCCTTATAATTCTTTAAAATTAGAGATACGAAATTGTATTTCCCCACTCGTAACCTCTATCACACATATTGTGTATTTGTGTCATTGAATTGGCCTCGCGCATGAATATATTTCTTGGTAAGCGCAACAAAATATACTCCCATTAAATTTGCAATTTGATAAAAAATAAACTACAAGAATATTTCGCTTCAATTTTTCTTTGCAACAATTTTTAAATTTAATAACTAACAACGTAAAATTCAACAAAATTCATTAATCAGTGCGGTGTTTATGTTGGTCACCGTCATTGGTTTGAAAGTATTTAGTACAAATGTAGGTCATCAACACACAGCCACTACAGGTGGCACGGTAGTATTTCCTGGCCCATAAGGGATAATGATAGCCTTTTTAGAATTTTCACCACTTTCTAACACTGCTAAAAATTCTACATTCACAGTTAACTGAAGTACTTTCATTTTACTATTCAGAAATGAATTTGAATATGTATCATGACCGTTTACTTTTTTTGCTATCTTTAAGAACTTAAGGCCACTAGTGCTTTTAGGTCTTTTATCGTGCAGTGAATACAAAATTTAAAAAAATTCTCAAAAATTCATTTTCATCTGTATGTAAAATTATTTCATATTTTTCTACACCTGATTAATCCCTCAGTTTGGGAAAGTATGTTCAGTTGATACTGTATTTTTTGTCCAATCATAATGTTCAGATACATTGACTTAAGTAGGGTACACAAAAGAGCAACCTAAATTCTGGAATGCAAATACTACCATGCTACCTACACACGGCAAGTCATGTTCAACAGTTCAATTGAAATGGAAATTACAGTTGTGAAAAACGGAATTTGCCGCAAACCCCGACATTTTACTCAGTTCCTGGTTTGTTTGACTGTTAACCATAAGATTTTGACGAGGCGCATAAACAGGTTGAAGAATATTTCGTTCGGCTGACACTGGAACAAGAGATTTATCACGGAGTCCAATTTCAGAAGGTAAGTTGCCTCGCTGAACTGTTGGTGCTTGAATTTGCGTGTTTTTACTTGGAACAAGAGAAGTTGACTTTGCTGAACCGGTAGCAACAGTATCAAGGACGGCACTGATTTTTTGTTTTTGTTCATTGCTAGGTCTTCTACAATAGGACTTGAGGCTTTCCTCACATTTGTGATCAGACATATACATTATATTTCTGTCTGTTAGCCCAGCATCACTCATTGCAGTTATTGCAGTTGACCGTAGGGAATGTGCTGTGTACCGTTTTACCCCAGCGTTTTTGCAGATATCCGGCATAAAATTTGTAAATGCTTTGACTTTTACTGGTGTTTCAGTGTACCAAACTGAATAATGATTCGGATTGCCACGAAGTGCATCTCGACTACACTGATTAAACAAACTTTTTGAATTTGGATGACATTTTGACAAAAAAAGTTTAATAGCTTGGACCGGACATGAATCTGAGTCAGTTGAGTACATTCTTTTGTCTTCGGCTTCTTCTGAGGAGTCTTCTATACCACCTTGGTAGTTTTTCTGGTGTGTGTCATGTGTTATTGTGAGGTATTCTCTCCCTTCCTCATCTTTTACAAATTTAATTGAATCCTTTGATAACTGTTGGTGAAATTCAATACCACGACTAACAAAGTGTATTGCTAGGGCATACCAGACTTTAAATCGAAGTGCAACAACATTATTCTTTGTAGAAAGGAACTCATTTATTTTCTGTAACTCAGAGTTCGAAATGATAGCATGATGCTGAGTTGGACGAGACAGCCCATTACGAAGGTTGAATTTAAGCTTAGCACTAAGCATTGAATTTGCTAACTTAAAGTCTTTGTCTCGAACAATGTCAATGTTGCGACCAATGTCCTTCAGGTGTCTATTAATTGCTGAACGTACACTCTTAAGGGAATTTTTATGATATTCCTGTGCCATACTTTCAGGCATACTTTGGATCCTTTTATTTAAATTTTTGGGCTGGGCTTCAGCATAAAATTTGCGAAGGCTTTCATTAAGATTCTCCTCAGAAATTGTGTTGAAATCTAGAGTTTTTTGTAATCTTTCTGAACACCAAGCTGAAAATGAAATTACAACAATTTTAGGAATTAATGTGAATCTGGCAAATATTGGGACGGATACATGGTAGGCAAGTTTAATTGACCTCATCACTATTTTAAAAATAAACATGATTCCATTCTAGCACAACAGATAAAGAAAAATTAATCGCATAAAATTTTGGTAAATTGCAGCTTGCAAATACAGGGAAAAATCATTGGTTGATACATGTATCTTTTATATTTAGATTAACAGTCACTTTACTTCAAAAATTGTTCATTTTACAATTCTATCCTTTTTCTTTATTTCTAATTTAGGAATTTGCAATATTTTATTGGTAATATATTGGTGGTACATGTAGTAATCTATTTAGTTTGTTATTTGCTTTAGTATATTGAATGTGAGATTTCTTGGTTAGTATTAATTGTGAAGAATTGGTGTATAATCCACTCCTTTCCTTGAAATGGCCATTTTTGATTTTTATTTGTATGTCAAATCTGGTTATTACTTTGGTAGGTTTGGTGGAAATGTCAACATTTGGAGCAAATTTATAATAACATAGATTAATTACCATTAAAAACTCCTATTCCCCACTTTGTGTTTTTTTTTAGTAGCTTCACTGTATTGGTTTTTCTCTATGTCTAAGAGTGCTGTCTCGTCAAGTTGCTTAAATCTGCTTGTGTTTGGTAGGTGACCACTTTGGTGAAATTCAGCCTGATGTGTTTCAGCAGTGTCTAAATCCTCTGTATTTTGGTTGTTTAGTGTTACAGTGTGCTGTTCTTGGTTTTGATTTGTTTTAGAGTTCTGAACATTCTGGATCTGAGGCAATTTAGGATTCTGGTCATTCTGGATCTGAGGCAATTTAGGATTCTGGTCATTCTGGAATTGAGGTAATTTAGGGTTCTGGTCATTCTGGATTTGAGGAGGTTTTACAGGTTCCTCTGTTATCTCGTGTGTATCAATGCTTTGACAAGCTTCAACTAGCATTTCATCAAAGCCAGGAACATCTTGCTGCAATACCTCAAAAAGCTCAACGACTGCTTCAGTATCCCAATCATCAGGAAAATTCAATTCAAATGTTACAGGCGGTGGTGACAGATTTTCTACCTCCGAGTCGGAGATAACCTCCGGTTCCATTGTTTGTCCAGTAGTGAGTAGCAGACGGACTCATGCACGTGAGTAACATTTATTTTTTATGGTGAAAATAAATAAATTAATATCTTATTATCATTCAAATAAATATTTAGTATTTATTATTTCATTACACGATCAACGGGAAGTGAAAATAATTTTTTTTATCGTCTAGCGTTATTATCGCCGCCATCTTGTTTACATTGGTTACAAAAAGTAGTTCCGTCAACGTCGTCTATCGAAAAATAAATTACTTTAAGAGCTGCTACCGGAAGCCCTCTCGACCAATCATATTAACGTGTTCCCTAATATGCAAATCATATAGGAATTATTTCTATCTATTTCGCAGTTAATAGTATTTTTTTTAACGCAAAGCAAAATTATACATGATTATTTTTGTTCCAATAAAGTAGGAATTAAGTGTTTACAGATTCAAATAAATAACAGGTTGTCCTCTGTAAGAAATCGTTTTCCAACCAGCCACCAAACTCCTTTTAACTGCTGAAGTTCAATTATGTTATGCGATTATGCATTTTTTTCTTTGACAAAACCGGGTTTTGTCTTGTGAAATCTAGGACAAAACCGGGTGCTTCCATTTTGACATGACCCATTTCTTTCGTTCCATACGCAGAAATGGGGTGCTCAAAGTGGCTAGTTTTGCAATCTCCGTGTCAATATCTTTCTTTCCGTACCTTTCTTTTCGTACCATGTGAACAATTTAAGGAGAAATTAAACAAATTCGAGGCACGGTTCACTCAATTCGTCATTTTGACGTGCATTTTTACTTATTTCTCTGTTAATCTAGAACGGTTGTAGAAAATATTACATCTCACAATAGAAAACAGTTATATATGTATAAATATTCTTCGATATCATAACAATAACAAATAAATAAACAGAAAACTACCTTTTCTCTGTCTGTTGATGTTCCGTCACCGTGCCGGATATTAGATACCATCGAGTCCAAACATTTTTTGCCGGGGTAGTTTAGACACAGTGTTGAAAATTAGGGGAAAATAAATTTAACATTCAGTGAGTTTTAAAAAACAAATGTAATAGAAAGAATAGTTTTTTTATATTAAAATTAGAGATAGTCCATGGTTCCAGAAACAGTTAAAACTTTTAATTCATTTCTAAATTCACTAAGGCTATTTGCACAATGTTTACTACAATGATTTCGAATCTGATTATGGTTTGGAATTTCATTCTCAATTATTTTAAGACAAATATATTCAGAATTTGTCATTTAATATATTTCTGTCGCAATGAGCATGGCAATATTCCAACAGCGCCTGCATATGGAGTATATATCTCCCAGATGATTCGATATTCCTGGGCTTGTATTTTCTATCGTGATTTCCTTGATAGATGGTTGCTGCAATCATAGGTTTGAACGTTGTTTTCAATTTAGTCTTGTTTATATTTTTTCGTTTGGGCTTGTATTATATTTGCCTTCGGGTTTATATGATCCGTTCATCCTATTTTGACTCTTCAAAATTCAAGAGTCAATCCCAAATTGAGGTAAATTATATGGCCTTCCAAATACCGTTTCGATTCCTAACATCACTGAAGAGACATTTATTGTCGAAATCCGGATATGGTGTACAAATTTTTGCACCTCATGTTTGCGGTAAACCATCTTTTCCGCAAGTTTATTGTTTTCTGTTTGGTTTTCAATTAATAAATTAAGATCCATTTTTACATCTGGTGATCTGTTTATTTGGCAATCGCCATGGCAGTCAGCAGGGTTTAAGAACATCCGTTGTTCGACCTGCTAGTCAAAAAAAATGCGTTTTGTTAAAATATACTTTTTCACTTGTTTGGTCTTTTGGAAAATGTTGTTTGTGCTGTATTTAGACCACTCTACCAAGAAATTTATATATAAACAAGTCTAAATTGAAAACAACGTTCAAACCTATGATAAATATTGCGGTTTTTATCCAACGCAATCATAAAAACCGCAATTTTTATACGTGTGCATGCAAAACAAATTTCTTGTTAGAGGGGTCTAAATACAGCACAAACAATATTTTCCAAAAGACCAAAAAAGTAAAAAAGTATATTTTAACAAAACGCATTTGACTAACAGGTCGAACAACAAATGTTCTTAAACCCTGCTGACTGCCATTGCGATTGCCAAATAAACGGATCACCGATGTAATAAATGTAATATATATATATATATATATATATATAGCATTTATACTACCAAAAAAAAGTCCCCTCATTTTTTTTACTATGTGTAAAACCCCTAAAGTGAAAGAAGGCCGCATGTCCTCTTTAAAAATCATAACAGAAGCACAATTTACATATAAAACTCGTGCAAAACGAAAACGATGTTTTTCCACTCCCGATTACAATGTTTCGAGTAGAGCAATGTTGTATTTCATATAATTTAGTGTTCGAATCTGTGTATCAAAAATGTTTACTTACTGCGTGTGTCCTCATCAACGACTTGACGGACTTCTGCCCTATCAGTTTCGGATAAGTAGCAACTTTTTGTAGTATTTACAAACTTGAAAAAATGGCATTTAACTGTTTTCGCCTCAAGACAAGACCTGGCACAACCTTCAAGTGACAGAACCTCCTTTCTTATGATACCAGGTGTTTTTAAAAGTTTAGTCTTCGCTGTTATAACTGTATGTGTTTCTGCAGAGACAAACCCTGTAAAAAATGCAATTGGAAGAAAATAAATCTTCAACATGATTGGTATCAAAAAGAGTCAAGAAACCTACCAAGGAGAAGGTTACAGTTATTGTTTGCTAGTAGCTCACAGGATAAAAAAGATTCCTCTTGATTTTGAAGTTAATTTGTCAAAGGTCAATTTGCCTATAAATAGACTGAAATTTTATGAAAAGTTGTGTTTCCAGGCAAAATATATTGAGCCACAAACGACATCTTTACCGAAAAGATTTGATAATACCCTTGGGGTAATAACGAACCGTTTAGTTGTTAAGGTCACTATGTCAATGTCATAGATTTCAGCAGCAATTGATAGACTGAAATTTGAGCAACAGTTTAGATTCAAAATGATACATTTTGACAGATTCTTCAAAACTCCATCAAAATTAACTTGCAGATGCCCCTTGGAAAGAACAAGAGCCCTTAGTATAAAACAACTAATGTATAGCACCATTGCTTTCTATGTTAAATCCTGCAATTTCAAGCATTTATAGCTAATTTGTCTTAAGTTCAAATAAAGGGCCAATCATTTCATGTCATAATCATACCTTATCCTGACTTGTGCTGAAATTTAAACATACCTTTAGTTTCATATTAGAGCGCACAGGTTCCCGCAAGTTTGGTAGTACAAAAGCAAGTACTTCTATTCTGAACATCACTGAACAGGGCAAATGTGCCTTCTTATTCTAACTTCATATATTTTTTTATTATTCAAAGAAACATTCAAAAGGATTCTTCAATGATTCCAAGTTATTAAGCTTTCATTTCATACCAAAATTATCGAAATATTTTACTTATTGAAAAAGTTACAGCTATGTGTAGGAACTATTTTGTTAAAATTATGTACTACTTTCTTGGTGTGTTATTTCAGACCGGACCCGAATAAGTGGTTCTATACCTCTACTACCAATCAATAAAGATGGACATACTACACAAAAAGGATCAATTGTTGGTTGTTTAATGTACAGTGGCAAATATATCATGCATGTTCAGGACGAGACAAAAAGGATAACAGGAATCCCCACAAATATTAAGGAGTACAACAGACCAACTTGGCAATTGCTCCTTTAATTTCATGATCATATGCAATTATCTACATAACTGAAATCTAGTTTTTTTTAAGGATTTCTCGACTTCAAGGTGACATTGATAAGGTGTTTTTTTTGCTGTATATGTACTGATTTTGTGTCATGGATGGATACCCCATATCCTTTGTTTTTTTCTATGAGTAACAAGAAAAACAGATATTAACAAATAATGAATTTAACCCTTATTGTCCGGGGGAAAATGTGTACTCATACAGTATATTAAAACAAAATAAATGTTGCGAAACAGTTACAAGAACAAAATAAAAGAGAGGCTCTAAAGAGTCTGTGTCGCTAACCTTGGTCTATGAACATCTCCAACAATTGACACTCTCCAACGTTGTGGACTAGAATATAATTCATGACAAAAATATCTTTTTTGTTGAAATTGTATTTCTGATAATTTTTGCTTTTTAAAGTCTTTATTTTTTTATAGTTTTCAAGATAAAGGCAATAACTCAAAAACAATTGCCATTAAAGAGCAAGAACTCGAATAAGGCTTCAACTGACGGTATCGGCCATGTTTACTTATTTGAAGATCTGTTCTTGCTGATCATTTTATGCTATTTCGAGTTTCTATCTATTATAGTTTCAATATGATAGGCAAAAACACTGAAAATGAGTAAAAATCGTCATTACCCCAATAAGGTGTCGATTGACGATTTCGACCATAACCGTCACCATTATAATTATTTGTAGGTCTTGTCTTGCTGATAATTTTTGCTCATTCAAGTTTCTATCTATCTATTATATTTTTTAAGATATAAGACAAAAAAACAAAAAATGGTAAAATCGTCTTTAAAGGGCAATAAATCTTAAATAAGTAGTCGTCAGACATTTACTGCTATATTGACATATTTGTAGATCTTGTCTTGCTTTTCATTTTAGTTGTTTAAAGTGTCTCTCTATTAGTTTTCTTGGTATTAGGTAAAAACTCTTAACAGATGGTAAAAACCATAATTAAAGAGCAATTTCTCCAATAAGGAGGCTTCGGACGATTGCAGCATTATAACTTATTTGTAGATCTTGTCTTGCAAATCATTTTTGCTTATTTAAGTTTCTGTCCATCTATTATACTTTTGAAGATATTGGACAAAAACGCAAAAAAATCGTACAAATTGTCATTAATTAAAGGACAATAACTCCAATATTTTAAGGAGTTATCTGACAATTTCGGTCATATTTAGTTGTAGATTTTGTCTTGCTGACTATTTTTGCTGTTTAAAGTTTCTCTTTATCTATTATATTTATTGTTTTCAAGGTAATTTGCAAAAATTTTAAATTAAATGGTAAAACTCGTCATTTAAGTGCTATAACTCGTATCCGAAGTCGTTTGACAGTTTTTATGTAATAATTTTGCTAACATGAATCCTCTAGAAAAGTTATTTTGGTTAATGACCTATGAGGATACATCAGTATTGAAAAAAAATGAGTAACTTTATTCATACTCACTGTAGATAATTTAATGCTTTAATCTTAATCATTAAAACAAATTTGTAAACTCATATTTCATTTTCTTTTCTTTTTTTTAACTGCTTGCTTGCCCGGCTGGTTTTGACACGGGGAGAATCATATTCAAACGATTGTTAAGCACCACCCCTGGTGTCTCCTCTAGTTAAGCAATCATATAAATAACCCTTATTTATCTATGTATTACTTCTTGTTGGATTTGCTGGTTTACACACGGGAAAAGATGCATTTTTCGACTGATTTTATCATTCAGACTGATTTAAATTGAAAACGAGTTCATGGACCCCTCTTTTTTAAAATGACAATAGGTTTGATTACGTATGAAGATTATTTGTACCAATTTTTATGAAAAAGTCAATAATGGAATTTTTTTAAATTAGATAAATAGGCAGCAAAAAATGCCGTTTTTTTCCTAAACCCATGGAACTTTGATAAAAATAAATTATTTCCAAAGAATTTTTATCCAAAATTAGAGCATACTTATGTAAAGACGATTTTCTAGATGCTTTTACAAAAATCTGCGTGTGTTTATCTTTTGAAACAAAAGAGTAAGGCATGTCTATCTAAAGGATAAAAATATAAAAAAAAACTTAATTTTTGGTAAATGTCTAAAATTTTGACCCCATTTATCTCCGAAATTAGCACATGAAGGTATATTTTTTATTACATATTTGAATTGACTGGGTGAAAAATAGCTTGTAAGCAAATTTTCGTAAAATAATCAATATGGGATCAAAACTGTATCGTATGCCCTTAACTAAGGCGTTACAGATAGAACTACGTCTGCCATTGTATAAGTTTCTATTCAATAAACATAATCGTACATCTCAATAACGCGACGTCACAAAGATAGCGGGCGCACCGCAAAAGGGTACGTTTAACGTTAGCGCAATTCTTAACATTCTGGGGCCGCAGAAAATGATATTTAATTCAAATGTATAATACAATATGAAAAATACTTAAAAACTTTAAAATTAACTGTTTCTAATCAGTTAGTCACAAAATGAAATAAAATCATAGTTAAAGTCTCTCGATATTTATTTTTTTAAACTTCACTGTTCGTTTGAATAATTTAACACTTTTACAAGTCTATCTAATAACCGTAGTTAATTGAACAGTCTATACATAAACTAATTTCTCCTGGGCAGAAAAGTTCATTCACTGTCACCATTTGTACTATGTATTTCCAACGGATAGAGCTTCATAATTGGACGGTTGGTAATTCCAGTGTCGGTCTTGATAACAGAGGATCGAATGAGTCCATCTTTTCCACGAACTAAATCTTGTATAACTGCTAATTTCCACATTATACGATTTGTATCATTGTGTACTTGTACAATGTCACTAATTTGTATTGTTTGTTCGTTTCTTCCAGATGTACGGTGGAATTCACGGAGTGACGTCAGATATTCGTGTTTCCATCTTGATCGAAAGTGGTTGATTAGTTCGTTTTGTCTCTGTAAATTTTTTATTCAGTTTCACGTGCAAATCTTCGGATATAACACTATCAATATTCTGTTCCAATCGGGTGTCAAGTCGACGACCATATAACAGGTGCGCTGGCGTCAGCGGTTCGGGATCTTTAATGTCAGTTGAAATGTAAGTTATCGGACGATTGTTTAGAGTTCCCTCGATTTCGATTACAATTGTATTCAACATTTCCGTAGTGACACATGACTTTCCTAGTATTGCTTTAAATGACTTTTTCGTGAGTCCAATAAGGCGTTCCCAGAAGCCTCCAAACCACGGTGCTCTATTGGGTATGAATTTCCATTCAGTTCCTTGATCGGCAAGTTTTTCTTGTATACGGTTGTCTTGGCTTGATCTTGTAATCTTTTCGGCGGCTGCCTTGAAGGTTGTTGCATTATTGGACAACATAATCCTTGGTATAGATCTCCTGGCGACAAATCTTTTAAATGCAAGTATGAAAGACTCCTCGGTTAAATCTGTGACTATCTCCAAGTGTATAGCTCGTGTTGCTGCGCAAGTGAATAAACAAACACATGTTTTGTTTAATTCGTTGTGTTTTCCTTTTGTGTACAAAGCTCCTGTAAAATCAACGCCGGTTACTGAAAAAGGATAATCGTAGTTGACTCGATCTTTAGGTAGTGGTGGCGGATCGGGTGCGCTGTAAGGCATTCCTGATATTTTAATGCATTGAACGCATTTACGAATTTGTGATTTTACGCACTGCCTTATTCTGGGTATCCAATATTTCTATTGAATATAAGCGATTGTACTTTTAAGTCCGACATGTAAAGTCTTAGTAGAGGTTTCTCAACATCTTACGAACGAACGAAAATTGCCCTAACTTGACGTAACTTACCGTAACGAGAAAAGAGGGAGCATTCATTTATTTATTTAATAATAATGGTCTATCGGCTGTTCACTTCC